TGCTGGAAAGGATAAAAAAACCTGGGTGTGTAAAAGTCTTTTAGAGCTTATTCTTTAAAAAAAAAATATGTGTATATATATATATATATATATATATATATATATATATATATATATATGTTTTTATTGATTTCAGAGAGAGGAAGGGAGAGAGCTAGAAACATCAGTGATTAGAGAGAATCATCTATAGGCTGCCTTTTGCACATCCTTTACTGGGTATCAACTGGGGCATGTGCCCTGACTGGGAATTGAACCTGGACCTCCTGGTTCATGAATCGATGCTCAACCACTGAGCCACACCAGTTGGGCAGGGGTTTATTATTGCACCACCTCTCTAATTTTATTTGCTTTCTGCTACCCTTTCACCTCCAAAATCAGTAGCCTGCCATGTTGGGGATTTTGAGGCCAGGGGAATCACTAGCCTGTGCCTTGTTGGATATTGATCAGAAGAGGAGTTTGGGATAGCTACTTGTTCTGAAAAATGGCAAGCAGATCTTTTATAAGGTCAGACTACTTTTTAGAGCAGCAGTCTCCAACCCTTCAGACCTCATGGACCTCCAATGGTCCATGGACCTCTGGTTGGCGACCGCTGTTAGAGTATAACGGTAAAGGTAGCACTCTAAGCCCTGAGTTAAGAGAACATCATTTGATGGAAGAAAAGTAAAGGCTCAGAAGAGCGTACTGACAGTGAAGACAAAGGTGTCTGTGGTGGTATTCAGCCTTTTGGCAAGAGGATTATTAATATATTTCCCTTACTTCACTGGCTGGCTAGCAGAGAATATCAAAAAACAACAGTGTCTATTCTGCAATATCCCAACTCTTTTATAATAGTCCATTCTCATTTTTTTCTTTCCTCCCTCAAAGTGGAATTAAGCCTGTATTTATAGAGTAAATTTTGAGTTATTTGTCATAGTAGTGTATACATTTCTTTTAAAAGAATTTTTATTGATTTCACAGAGGAAGGGAAATGGGGAGAGAGAGAAGGAAACATTAATGATGAGAGAGAATCGTGGATCGGCTTCCTCCTGCCTGGCGAACCTCACTGGGGATTGAGCCCACAATTTGGGCATGTGCCCGACTGGGAATCAAACCATGACCTCCTGGTCTATAGGTTGATGCTCAGCCACTGAGCCACACCGACTATGCAGTATATATATTACGCATCTCTATAATTTCTACCTTACCTATTAAAGTGCTTTGCTGAAATGATTCTTTATTAAAAAAACAACAACACCCTGAACTCTTTTCACCCATCTAGTTGCCATATTATTTTATACATAATTTATATTGTATTTTTAACTTTTTATTTTTGAGTTGTACACCCTTCTAACGTAGACTGGTAGCTATCTTGTTTATTCTGACATCTGTAGCGCCTGTTATAGTGTTGGGCACTAGTAGGTACTCAGTCAATTTGAAATATATTATGTGCGACCATGATCACATGGAGTGCTCAGAACTTGAGGATAGCTCTGAAATTCCCTGGGTCCCTTTCCTCTCCTTTAGTCTCCTTGTTCTTGATTTTACTACATTAGACCCTTTGCTTGCCTGCTTTGCACCTCCAGTAGGATATACTGATCAGCTTCCAATATCTATGTCTTGTCCTCTCTTGTGATTGTAAATCTAAGGACAGATTTAGTAACTCCCCTGGCTTAGGACTGCCCACATGAGCCTCCAACATTAATCCTCCAATTGAGAAATCATAAAATAGTGGAGTTCACTAGTGCCCTGAACTCTTTTCCTAACAATAGTGATACCGAAGGGAGTTTTATGGAGCTTGGGAATCTGCTAAGATGTACGGGAGATCTGTCCTATCTAATCCAGCTGCCAGCTCTAAAGCTGGAAACGCTGAGCAGATATGCCTTCCAGCTCAGTTTGATAGTGACTAGGAGCATGGACTTGAGGGAGCAGAAGGGAGGAATTCCCTTGACTTGGATGATAAGTATATGGTGAAGTTCTTACAAATGTATTAGGGGGTGCAGAGGGGTGCAGCCTGTGAGTTTAATTGTGGCTATACTAGTATTGGGATGTCCTGAAAGGTACCAGATGACTATATTTAGAAAGCAATTGGATAAAACAATTTGAAAATTAGGGAAAAGTCACAGTTGAGGGTTCTTAAACTACAAGAATTGGTGGGATTTCCTTGGGTGTAATGTAGCACTAAAAGTCAATTAATAGCAGAACTTGAAATTTAAATGAAGAAAAAAGGGAACACCATGAAGGGAAGACAGAAAGAATTATCTAAGAGTAAAAAACAGAAAAGCAGCCCCAACAAAAAACATAAGGGAAAACATTAAAAGAAGGCTGGATGGATCTATAGTGTCAAATATTGCGGAGTAAGATAAGAGTTGAAAACTGACTCTTGAATTTTATAATTAAAAAATAATATAATGTTATTGAGAACAATTTCATTGGAATGGCAGGAGGTGATGCCTCATTGTGATTTCTTGAGATCTTATAGCAAGATGAGAAACTGGAAAGATGTGTAGAAGATTCTCTTAACTTTAGAAGAGGAAAGATATGATGAGTTAAATTTCTGTAAAGTCCTGGTTGCAGGCCTCCTCCTAATCCCTTAATGCCTGACTCATCTCTCAAGAGTGCAACTTCTCAGACAGCCGCAGCAAGGAACAAGCACTCAGAAACCTAGGCTGCGACAGGTTCAGCAGATACTGACATTTCTGCTGCTTCTCAGCTGTTTCATAACATTTACTAGTACATGCACATCACCCTGCCATGAGGATGTTCCAGATCATGTGTGCTACAAATGCCACTTCTTTCTCTGTTTCCCACCCAAAATACATTGCTATAAGGTAATGACTGGTGACATTTTTATAGGTCTAATCTTAACCCATCTTTAAAAAAAATGTAATCATTTACAAAGTTCGTCATTGGGAACAAATGTTCTCTCTTCCTTCCCCTCACAACTAGTCATGCTCTGAGACCATTGCTGATCTTTTGAACTGAGTAGTTCAGTGAAGTTGTTAATGCATTCAAAGCCTTAGCCTAAGTGAACCCAGTGTTCCCTGCTGGTCCTGGTGCCCCCTAGCAAGGAATTCATGACCACTGGGTACGTACTGTCCTTAGACGGTAGCTTTCCCGTTCAGTTTTTTTATTACCAGTACTGTTTGGGGGCCTTGACAATATTTTATGAGTTTCAGAATGAGTCTGGGTAAAATATTTTCTGACCAGAAAGAAAAAACAAAAAGCTGTTTGCTGACCCAGGTCTATGACTGCCTTCAGCTTTGTGTACTCCTAACTCACTTCCCACCAAGCAAGTCTGTGTACAAGTGGAAATCCTGCCTCCATGTAATTGGCAGCTCTACCCGATTATGTTCCTCTGCTCCCTCACTTCATTGCTACTCTAGCCAGTACTGGGAAGAACTGTGTGTGCTATAGGAAGTCATATGGAGCACTGGCTAACCTGGGTTTTAGTCTCTGAGTCTATCAGCTTTCCCCTTTTCTTTGAACTCTTCTTCGTAAAGTCCTTCTAGACGCTGGCTTCTTATCAGGAACCCTCTTAGCTTCTTATCCCCTCCTTCTTTGCTTGGCATCATCCTCATAAGCTGCCTTAGTCTCCACAGAATGAAGCAAACACACATTTATTCTGCTTACTCTCCGTGGGGCCCTGGGGAAACAGGGTTGCAGCTGTCTCACTAGCCCAAGAAAATACCAAGTGCCTCCAACTCAGTTTTGGTTACACTGGAAATCCTCTTTGTATAAAGTATAATAATTTAATCCATCTCTGCTAATGATCTTTCTATGCAGTCTTTGTCAGATTTCATCCAGCTGTCTGGTCCTCAGATTTTTGCTCTTTTAAATGTGTCTTTTATGTTTATTAAATGAAACATGCCCCAAACTTCTGTAAGCAACTTCTTCAACTTACTGCTTCACTTTTTAATGAATAATACCACCACGTCCTGTAGTTACTCAAGGAGAAACTTGGGAGTCAAATTTGACTCTTCACTGTTTAACCATCACCAGAATTCTTTGTCTGGCTCTGAAATGTCTCAAACCAATATTTACTGCCTTACATCCTAATTTGCTACCACTCTGCTCCAGGCAACCTTCATCTGTCACCCACATTACTGTAACAAGCGCCTAACTAGTCTTTAACCTCCATCTCACTTTTCTTATATTCTCCAGATCAGAAATCTTTCAGAAATGCAATGGACCATTTTATTCCCCTGCTTAAAATTCTTCAGGGATTTTACCATTGTCCTTAGAAGGAAGTCCAAACTTTTATAATATGTGTCTTACAAGATTTCTCATAACCTACCTCATGTATGTGCCACTTTTTCCCCTACCTTCTCTGCCTTGGCCGTATTACTCTTTCAGTTCATAGCCACAACTTAATTTGAAGGTAAGGACCTTCAAATTTCTGTACTTGTAATGCTTTGACTTTGAAATTAACCTTCTGTTCTTTGACCAGGTAACTCTTACTCATTTTTTTCTTTATAATGCAGCCTAATTATTACTTCTTTAGAGAAAATTTCCCTGAGCTCCTCATCTTTTTTTAAACAATAAAGTGTTTCTACAGATCTTCTAAAAATAAAAGTATTGTCCTTCTATAATACCCTTTATTTTTCATACGATAGCAATTAGTACCTTTTAATTTTAATTACAGTTAAATCCCTAGACTTTAAGCTCTGTCGGGGAGGTAACCTGCTATCTTGCTTGCCGCTGTGAGCTATTCAAAGGTGGAATAATCTTTCCTTGGCGCTTAGGTTTCCATTACCAGGAGTGTTCATGTGTAGGCTCAATAGCTCAAAGTTGGGACTGAAATAGAGAACCATTGGGAAGCCTTTAGGTCCTTTCCAAATAGTCAAACATACAAATAAATGGTTTTAACAGATTCTGTAAGTCAATATATAAGAATTACACCTAATTGAAAATACTGAGCATTCAATGAATAATCACATATGAAGTACCTAAGTGATGTTTCTAATTTAGAATATCTTATCTGGAATTTGTGAAATTAATATTATATTTTGTATCTCTCATAGGTGAAATGAATCAGAAGTACAAGGAGCTTAAAAAAAGAGAGGAAACTATGGATGGTAAGTGGTAGTCTTATAACTATGAAAATATTATAATTTTAGGTAACTGTTCATTTTACCAAATCAGAAATCTCATTTGGGAAGAAATAATTCTATCTAATAAAAGAGTAATATGCAAATTAGCCATCACCCCCACGACAAAAAATGGCGGCCCCCATAGCCACAAGATGGTGACGCCCAGTCCCTGCTGCTGGAGTGTCTTGGCCTGTCTGCTCAAGGGGGCAGATCCAGCCTTCCCGCTCCACCGATGCTGCAGCATCTGGGCCCCTCAGCCCCACTGGGGTTCGTGCAGACCAAGCGGCGAAGCTGGACCTGCCCCCAGACACTGCAGTGCCCAGACTCCTTCCACCCCCAACTACTTTCTCTCCCCAGGATAAGCCCCCACCACCCCAGGGTCCATGTTCATTAGTTATGCTAATATGCATGCATACAAGTCCTTTGGTTGATGTCTTACCTCCCACTGCCTTCTCTCTGAGGTTGGATGGTCTGTTCAGTATTTCTTTGTCTCTGGATCTATTTTTGTTCATCAGTATAAGTTGTTCATTATATCCCACATATGAGCGGAATAATGTGATATAATATTTATCTTTCTCCAACTGGTTTATTTCACTTAGCTTGCTTTCCAGTTCCATCCATGCTGTTGCAAATGGTAAAAGTTCCTTCTTTTTTATAGCAGCATAATATTCCATTTTGTAGATGTACCACGATTTTTTAATCCACTCATCTGCTGATGGACACTTAGGCTGTTTCTAAATCTTAGCTATGGTGAATTGTGCTGCTATAAGCATAGGGGTGTATAAATCCTTTCTGATTGGTGTTTCTGGTTCCTTGTGATATATTCCCAGAAGTAGGATTACTGGGTTGAATGTTAGTTACATTTTTAGTTTTTTGAGGGAACTCCATGCTGTTTTCCACAGTGGATGTACTAGTTTGCATTCCCACCAGCAGTGCATGAGGGTTCCTTTTTCTCCACATCCTTGCCAGGACTTGTCGTTTGTTGATTTGTTGATGATAGCCATTCTGACAGGTGTGAGATAGTATCTCATTGTCGTTTTGATTTGCATCTCTCAGAGGATTAGTGACTTTGAGCATGTCTTCCATATGTCTCTCGCCCTTCTGTATGTCCTCTTTTGAAAAGTGTCTATTTAGGTCCTTTGCCCATTTTTTGATTGCATTGTTTACCTTTTTTTTGTTAAGCTGTATGAGTTCCCTGTAAATTTTGGAGATTAAATCCTTATCTGAGATAGCATTGGCAAATATATTCTCCCATGCATTGGGCTTTCTTGTTGTTTTGTTAATGGTCAATTTATTGTTTTATGTTAGCAGTAAAATTGTTTTTAACTATATGTTTTTAATTTTAGAAGATCTGTAGATACTTTAAGAAAGTAAATAAGAGCAAATTGGGTACTGGTTCTATATAAGAAAAGAAGAAAAATGAGTTCTTAGAATATTTATAATCTGAACAAATTATTAAACTTATTTACTTGAGATTCAGCATTATAAGTAATATAATATAATACTGATTTTCAGATATTATAGTAATCAGTAATGTTTTCAGAAGTAAAGTTAGTGGCTAATTATAGATATTAATAATTGTAGATGTATCAAAGAGATCCTATGTAAACACAGGTTTTTTTCTGATTTTTTAAAATTAACTGTTACTTTTGGATCCATATACATTTTTAGTTTACTTGTATCATATAAGTTAATAACAATTAAACTTTAAAAGTTTGAATGTAGAAATGTTCTTATTGAGTAATTACCCTTGGGTTAATAAAATATTAGACATAGATAGTTTTAAATTTGCTTTGAATTTCTACTCCTAAGACCCACAAATCAGTGTTTATATAGTGTGAACTATAGCAAGAGTAGCCTCTCATCATATTTCTCAATTGGCAGCTTTTATTGAGGCTTTTGAGGGAAATAAGAATCAGGAACTGGAACGGAAGGCACAGATAGAAGCCGACATTGTTGCACTTTTGGAGCACAGTAGTCGGGTGAGTACCATGTACCTGTCCTGGTGTCCTCGTTACTTTTACTGTGATTACCTCTTTCAGTCCAACTAAAAAATGCATGGTTCATTACTGCATTTGTTCATTTAAACTGTTCCTTTAAAAGTCTCTTGCTTGTTATTCTATTTCCTTAAGCGTTTTTTGTCTTTCTAATTCAGCTAATTAGTTGTATTATGGGGAAAAGGATGACATGTATATCAATATTATGTATATATAACTATATATATATGATGTTAATATTCAACAGTGAGAGACTAATTTAATTATTAAGATTTTCTTCTATTGTTAATTTATCTGAACTTTTAGAAATAGCATTTGCAAAGATAAACTTGAAAAGCCAGATATATGATATTGGAAAATGTTAATATATGTTTTTAAATATATTTTACCCTGTAATATATATTATAAACAAAAAGGTATGAGGTATCTAATGAGTATCTTGTTTCACTAAAACATGTTTATTAGGCAGCCACTGATGTTTGGTACCAGGAGAGGAGAAATACGTGTTTCTTTTCAATATTCTTAGTGTTTTAAGACTCGAATCAGTTCCTAAAATAGTATTGTTGAGTTTTTTGTGCAATGAAATAAAGCAAATCTTTTTTAAAATTCTGAATTTTAATTTAGCCTGTCCTTATTGATAAAACCTGATTTGCATTTCACTCTGTTCTTCTATGAAACATATGTAATAAATTATGTATTTCAAAGAAGAATACCCATTCAAAATGTCCAATCCTTTAGCAGTATTTTCTATGAGTTTTATTGAAGAGTTAAATTTGTGGATTTTTTAAAACCATTTTTATTTCTCCTCAAATACAGAATATAAATCGTATGAAACAGATATCCTCTATCACCAATCAAGAGCTTAAGATAATGCAAGATGATCTCAATTTTAAATCTACTGAAATGCAGAAATCACAAAGTACAGCTAGGAATTTGACTTCAGGTAAGAAAACAACCTAGATTTTAAAAACCTTTTTTTTTTTTTTGTAATAAATGTTATTTTCTTTGATTTTTGTTTTAAAGACTGAGGACATAATTTATGAATGCTTATTGCTTCAAATCATTTATAGTCTCAGCATTTTGTGTGACTTTTCACAACAGTTTGATAGTATTTCATTGAATAGTCTCATTCATTTAACATTTATTAAAATATCTATATCTGTATTATAACTTAGTTATTCCCAGATTTAAAAAAAAAATCACTCTGTCCCCCCAAGAAACTTCCAACCTGGTGGAATTGAAAGTAAACAGTCTATCCTCTATAATAATAGAAGTATAATATGCTAATTACACCAGATTCCTTCCAGACCACCTTTCAGATGAAGCCAGGGCTGAGAGGAAGCCTGGGTCCTAAGTGCCAGAGGGAAGCCAGTGCCAGCAGCCAGGGGAAGGAAGGCTTACTCTTTTTATTTATTTTTATTTGATTGATTTTTTTACAGAGAGGAAGGGAGAGGGATAGAGAATCAGAAACATCAATGAGAGAGAAACATCGATCAGGTGCCTTCTGCACACCCTCCACTGGGGATGTGGGCACAACCAAAGTACATGCTCTTGACCGGAATCAAACCTGGGATCTTTCAGTCAGCAGGCCGATGCTCTATTCACTGAGCCAAACCGGTTAGTGCAAAAAGGCCTACTCTTGCACAAATTTTGTGTATCGGGCCTCTAGTCCTATATAATAAAAGCTTAATATGCAAATTGTCCTCTCCACTGGGAGTTCAACCAGGGGGCGGGCCAGCAGCGGCAGGCGGCTGGGGAAGGGAGATCCCCCCCGGACAGCGGCACCAGCAGCAGTGACAATGGTGGCAGGTGGCAGGGGAACAGGAGAAGGGAGGCGCTCTGGCCAGCAGCTGGTAGCTGCTAGGGACCCTACATTCTGTGCACTGGGCCTCTAGTTAAAATATAGTGAAATAGTGCTATAATAGAAGCACAGGAGCAATGGAAGTACATACATAGGACTCATGTTCACCCCAGTCTTGGGTAGTTAAGAGAAGTATCCTAGAGGAAGTAATGTTTATATTATAATTAGTTTCAGCAATGATGATTAATCTGAGAATAGAACAGCACTGTCCAACAGAAATGTAATGCCAGCCACATATATAATTTTAAGTTTCCTAGAAGCCATGTTAAAAAAGTAAAAAGAGACAGATGAATTTGAATAATGTATTTCATTTAACCCAGTGTGTCCAAAATAAGACCATTTTAACAGGTAACCTATATATATATACAGAGCCAGGGTCTGTAACATCCACAACTACCGAAGGCTCCACCTAACACCCAGGCTGCATGCGCAGCAGGTCTGGTGGTGGCGACTTGTGGCATCAGGACAAGGGGAGGCGGGGCCGCACTCACATTCACTCACAACCTCACACACACACCACTCACCAGCTCACAGCCTTTTATCCCTTTCTTTCCCTCTCTCCCAGCTCACTTTCCAGTTGAAATGTGACTAGGACTTTTCATTACTCTGTTGAATAAGAGTGGTGAAAGCAGACATCCCTGTCTCTTGTTTCCAGTCTTAAGGGAAATGCTTTTAGTTTTTGTCCATTGAGTATGACGTTGGCTGTGGGTTTGAAATATATTGTTTTTATTACATTGAGGAATGTTTCCTCTATTCCCACTCCGCTGAAAGTTCTTCTTATAAATGGGTGCCAAGTTTTATTAAATGCTTCTTCTGCATCAGTTGATATGATCAGGTGGTTTTTATCCACTTTGTTTATATGGTGTATCAATTTTATTCATTTGTGGATATTGTATAAACCTTGCATCCCTAGAATGAGCCCTACTTGTTCATGATTTATAACCTTTTTAATGTATTGCTGAATCTGGTTTGCTAATATTTTGTTAAAGATTTTAGAATCTATGTTTATCAGAGATATTGGCCTGTAATTTTCTTTGCTTGTAGTATCCTTATGTAGTTTTGGAATTAGGATAATTCTGACTTCTTAAAACAAGCTTGGGAATCTTCCCTCTTCTTAAATTTTTTGGGAATAGTTTGAGAAGCAGAGGTGTTAGTGCTTTGAATATTTAGTAAAATTAACCTGTGAAGCCCACCTGGTCCAGGACTTCTGTTTATTGGGATTTTTAAATTATTATTATTATTGTTGCTTCAATTTCAGTAGTAGTAACATGCCTATTTATATTCTGTGATTTTTCTTGATTCAGTTTTGGAAAATAGTATGTTTCTAGGAATTTATCCATTCCTTCCAGATTGCCCAATTTATTGGCATATAGTTGTTCATAATATTTTCTTAAAATCCTTAGTATTTTTTGGTGTTAGTTCTCCTCTTTTATTTCTGATTTATTCAGGTCTTCTCTCTTTTTTTCTTTATGAGTCTGGGTAAAGGTTTGTCAATCTAGTCTATCTTTTCAAGGAAGCAGCTCTTGGTATGATGGATCTTTGGGTTGTTTTTTTTAAGAATCTATTTCATTTATTTCTGCTGTGATCTTTATTATTTCCTTCCTCCTATTCACTTTTTTTTTTTTGTCTTTTTCCTGTTTAAGTATAGAGCTAGATTTTTTTATTTGAAATTTTTTCATGTTTCTTGAGGTAGGCCTGTAATTCAATGGATTTTCCACGTAGGATTCCTTTTGTTATGTCCCATAGGTTTTGGTTTATTATGTTCTCAATTTCATTTGTTTCAAGGTATCTTTTGATTTTGTCCTTGATCTTGTTAACCCAGTCACTATTTTGGAACCATGGTATTTAGCCTCCATGTCTTTGTGTGTTTTTCTGTTTGTTTGTTTTTTGTGTTTTTTTTTTCTTGTGATTGATATCTAGTTTCATACCATTGTGATTAGCGAGGATGCTTGATATAATTTAAATCTTCTTAAATTATTGACATTTGTTTTGTATTCTAACATGTGGTCTGTCCTACAAAAATGTTCTATATATACTTAAAAAAAATGTATACTAGTATTTTGCTTTGAAATGATCTGCTGCTCTGATTAAACTTAACTGATATAGTGCATCGTTTAATGCCATTGTTTCCTTATTGATTTTCTGTCTGGAGGATCTATCCATTGATGCCAGTGAGGTGTTAAAATTCCCTACTATGACTGTATTACTATCAATCTCACCCTTTGTGCCCATCAAGATTTTCTTTACACATTTAGGTCCTCGTATGCTGGGTGCCTAAATGTTTACATGGATTATATCCTTTTGTTGTAATTCTCCCTTTGTCATTTTTTAGTGTGCTTCTTTGTCTCTTACTACAGCCTTTGTTTTAAAGTTTATTTTGTCAGATATATGTATTTCTCCCCACCTTTTTTTTTTTTTTTCATTTCACTTGCATGAAATTTCTTTTTCATCCCTTTACTTTTAGTCTGTGTGTATCTTTAATTCTGAGGTGGACCTCTTGTAGGCAGCATATATATTGGTCTTCCTTTCTTATCTATTCAGCTATTTTATATCCTTTAATTGGAACATCTAAGCCATTTATACATAAAGTAATTATCAATAGATACATGTTTATTACCATTTTATTCTTTTCACTATGTTTATTTTTCTTTTTTTATTTCTTAAAGCAGTCCCTTTAACATTTCTTGTAATTCTGGTTTAGTGGTAACAAACTTCTTTAGCTTTTTCTTGCCTGGTAGGCTCTTTATTTCTCCTTCCATTTCAAAAGATACCCTTGCTGGGTAAATTAGTCTTGATTGTAAGTCCTTGCTTTTCATCAGTTTGAAAAATGTGTTTTTCATCACATTCTGGCCTGAAATGTTTCTGTTGAGAAATCAGCTGACAGTCTTATAGGAGCTCTCTTGTAGGTAACTAACTTTCTTTCTCTTGTAGATTTTAAGATTCTTTCTCTGTCTTTAAAATTTTTCGTCTTAATTATGATGTGTTTTGGTTTGGACCTTTTTGTATTAATCTTCTTTGGGATTCCCTGCACTTCCTGAGCTTGCATGTCTTTTTCCTTCACCCAGTTAGGGAAGTTCTCTTCAAATAAGTTCCCTGTCTCTTGCTCTCTCTTCTTCTGGTGCCCCTATGATGCAGATGTTGTTACACTTTATGTTGTTTCAAAGGTCCCTTAAACTACCCTCATTTTAATTTAATTTATTTTTAAATATATTTTATTGGTTGTTTTTTTTTTTTTTTTTTTTTTTTTTTTTTTTAACAGAGAAGAAGGGAGAGGAATAGAGAGTTAGAAACATCAATGAGAGAGAAACATTGACCAGCTGCCTCCTGCACACCGCCTACTGGGGATGTGCCCACAATGAAGGTACATGCCCTTAACTGGAATCGAACCTGGGACCCTTCAGTCCGCAGGCCAACCGACATTCTATGCACTAAGCCAAACCAGTTAGGGCTATTTTATTTTGTTGTTGTTGATAATCCTCACCTGAAGATATTTTTTCCATTGAATTTTAGAGAGTGAAGGGAAGGGGAAAGACCAAGAGAGAGAGAAATATTGTTGTAAAGAAGAAACATTGATTGATTGCCACCTACATGTGCCCTCACTGGGGCCAGGGATTGAGCCTACAATTGAGGTAGTGCCCTTGACAGGAATCAAACCTGAGATCCTTTTGTCCCCAGCCAAACTCTAAACACTGAGCAAAACAGGCTAGAGCTACCCTTATTTAAAAAAGATGTTTTCTTTTTGCTGCTCTGATTGGATGTTTTCTGCTACATTATCTTCTAAATCATTGATTTGATCCTCTGCTTCATCTAACTTACTACTTACCTCTGCTACCCCCTGAGTCTGCCCGGATCTCCTTCAGATCCTTCCAAGAAAGTCTGCAATGTGGGCCCAAGCTGGCCACAGCCTGCTGACTCCTCCATAGGGTACTAGTTTGGCAGGTCAGGGCCACAGGGAGCTGGGAGGGCGGGCCTAATGTGTTCCCTCAGGCTGATGCCTCATGGAGGGGAGTGCTTAACTGGGAAAGATGTCATCTGTGGAACTGTGGGACATGGATTCGGCACAGGCACCGTGGCAGCTGTCC